AGAGAGAGAGAGAGAGAGAGAGAGAGAGAGAGAGAGAGAGAGATTAATAATGCGTTTTATTTTGTTAACTACATAACAATTATCATTTAGTATTGCTTTTATGTAGTGAATAACATAATTGATCTTGTGTAGTAAAATCAATTTATTAATAATTATTAACAATTATTTTGGAATGCCCTAGTTTTTTAGTGTAGTTAATTTTGTCATCAATTATATAAGCATGGTGAACAAAAGACATTTTATTTAATAATAGTGATGTAAAAGAATGAATTAATGTAAACAAGTTCAACCGACAACAAACAACTATCATTATATTAACCATGCACTATTTTCTACCCCTTCCACCCAATAATGATCTACCAGACACACCGTTCGGCATATCAAACGACTCAACCCTATTTTGTCCGCAAGATTTGCGCAACGAATCGGACTTTGACTACCTTCACAACTTTGATCCGACCTTGTTTAATTTTTCCCGATGCAATTTCAGCGACTCTGATCATCCTATTTGGTACCGCCGGCCCGACTGGGATGTGGCCGTTAAAACGCTGGCAATCCTACCCGTAATGATTGTAGGAGTGTTTGGCAATCTGGCCGTTATAGCGCTTATTGTGAAACTTTATACCCTGCGCAAATCTATAATTAACTTGTTTATTTTGAATATGGCCATCGCCGACTTATTGACCACGGTGTAAGTAAAATTAATTATGTTTCTACCTTGATTAACTATGTTGTTATTAATTTTGTGTTTTTGTAATAAGACCTAAATTTTTTATAGCGACATTATTTAATTTAAAATAGGTTTAAATTTAAATTTTTCATAATGGTCCTAGTTTGTTTTATAAATAATACTGTAATTTAAATACAAAATACATAAATTTCATTTTTATTCTTAATTATATAATTTTATTAACAAAATTAGCGCTACAATTAAGTACAAGTATTCAAAAATAATTATAATTAAACACGTTCATAGATTCTGCCCGTGGATAGCGCTGGTCACTAACGTATACCAATTCTATGAGCTTGGTCAATTTTTCTGTAAAATGGAAAGCTTCATAAAAGGTACAATTTAATAACTAACTTAATTAACAAATTAGCCACAAAAAATAACTAATAATTAACCACCATATTAATTTTTAATACTCTATAAATTTCTAATCAATTACATAGTTATGTGTTTACTGTCGAGTGTATTATCGCTGATGACGATATCGATTGACAGGTATATCGCTATTTGTTACCCACAGCGGTGTCACCTGAACCGTAAACAGTCCTACATAATTACCACGGCCATCTGGGCCATTGCTATCACCCTGGCCAGTCCGCTCGCCTATTGGCGTGTATACAAAGAGAGACAGTGGCTGGATGTGAACGAGGTAGTTAGCACATTTAAAATTTTATCTAGCATATACTGCTTCTCATCTACCCCCCTCTAATTACTGGTAACACCCCTAACACATTGTCATACGATTACATGTGAATAGTTAACAAAATTCAATACCCCATAGGGTTATCATTTGGGCGATAAATCAATAGTTTATAGTATTGTTTAAACAGAAATCACTTTTTCTAACGCATTGTTTTCCATAGAAATTAATGCAATAATTTTCTAACTAAAATTTATTACACGGAATATCTCTGTATATGTTATGTAATAAAAACATTAGTGGTAAGCATTATGAAGTACTATAAGTGTTTTAATAATGTACTTTGTACAGTATACAAAGTACCTTGGTACGTTTATTTTGACCCGGACTTTAATTTTTATATTGTTTAAAAAATTTATTTAAAAATTGCTTGAAATAGAGTGACCACTAATAAAAAATAATGTCTCAGATTTGTTACACGCTATTAATTATGCTGTAAATAATATTAAAATTTTAAGTGAATCATGAAAAACATATTTAGAGATCTCTTTATCAACTAGTTTAGAAATAATGTCTATAAAAACACACAAATTATTACCTAGAATAAACTTAATCGACCAGGATATGCCCTATTATTTACATAGTAGCACGTACAGTGTACATGAAACAGCATGCTAGTAATTATAATCATAACAACCATGTTTAATAAATACCTCAATGTTTCTACCCTAATAGAAATGGTGTCCAGAAGATCACACCAATGTGTCCAAGTATTACTGGCTGTTCTTAATGCTGCCACTGGTGTACATCCCACTAATCGTGGTCACAATTATATATACAGTGATCATACGTAGACTGGACAGGTTGGCCCGAGCCCTGGCCGACCGGGCCAGCGATGTGCCCACAAAACTCAGGCACCGGCAGATTTTGATGAAAATGTTGCTAACCTACATTATTACCACGATTATTTGCTGGTTTCCCCTACAAGTGCTGGTCTATTATCGCAGGTTTCATATTGAATCTGATGTGAGTATGGGGTATAGGTGTAACAGTGAGGGTTAGTTTAGCTATTGCATATTTGTTTAACTCAATGTTTATAATTGTTTATTATTAATTTGTAATACTTATGTTTAATTTTTTAAACAGCTATTACCGAGGTGGTACGATGACTGCACGTTTTTGGCACAGGTTAGTTATTAATTATTTGTCACCACACTTTAATGTCGCTAACTTAATCATGATATAACTTACTCGTTTATTAATTGTTTAATAATAATAATTAAGTGCTAACTGTACTGACATTACACATAGAATTATAATTTTAAAAATATAAGATACTTTATATATTGTATTGCAAACAATCTTGGATATAAAAACTTAATTTATTAAATTTTTAAACTAACCATGATCAATTTCCCACTAGATATTTGCATCGGCCAACTCAGCCATCAATCCTGTCGTGACATTTCGCAAAAGTTTTGCCCATTTATTGCCCAAACTATTTGCAAACACATCGCACGGCCATCGGGTGGGCCCGCAGGGGGTCATACGGCGACAGTTGGACATACCTGTGATCGCCTGGGATGGGGGAGGGGGTGGCTATAGGGGGCTGGAGATCAAGGGCTGGGACGGGTCGCCGGACATTACCCCCAAAGGGCTAAAAAGTTTGTCCACAAATACAACGCAAAGTTTTACGAAACAGATACTTATGAATAGAGCGCCAGAAATATACTTTAGAGATGACACATAAAATTTCTGAAACTTTATGAAACACGTGTCACATGAATTTTCTGTAGCAATAGTTTTGTTGTTGTTGTAGAATATTCTGTGAGTTTGTGTTGTTTTTATAATATACTTAGTTTAGTGCAAAGAATAACAATGTGTTTTGTATTATATAATTTTTTTTTGTAATTTTGTGTTAATAAATACTGTTTTATATTATATTAATTGATGTTATTTATTGTGCATGCAATTATTATTGCAATATTTAAATCACGTTTGTAAACGTTTTTAATATGCTGATAAATATAATTATGCAAGTTGTAAAATTTAAAACAGATATTAAATTATTTAAGTTTGCATTAAAATGCAATATATTAAAGTACAATACTATGCAATGAACCTAATAATGTAATTATGAACTACAAATTATCAACATGATGATAACCGAGTAGCTAGTAACCAAGGTTTCACATAACTTTACCATAGTCTAAATGTCAAAAACTTAATTTGTAGTGTCTTTAAGTATTAGACTCGAGATTATATAATATTGACATTTATTATAGCAATATATCTATTAAAGAACTTATTTATAAAAACTTATGGTTAAAGTAATCAAACAATAAAATAGCTGTTAAAACACAGGATGGGCTAAATATTTGACAAACAATTTATTATCATGTTCAAACATTACAAAAATTACATTAATATAGCTATTAATAAGTTACAATGCGACCTTGATGGTCACATTATCCGATAAAATAGCACTAAAAATGCACTTAATTAATAAATTCAGTGTTGAATAAAACATACATAGTAAATATTTCGTCCTGTTTTAGTGCAAATATGCTGTTATTTTAGTACATTATCCAAACTACCTATGCTTATGTTTGAAGCATAAAACCATCATAATAATCTCACTAAACCTGCGCAAATCAAACTAGTTTATTGTTTGAAAAATGTATATAAACAATCAGTAACAGGCATTTGTTATCACAATTAAATTAACTGTGTAAAATTCAAGTGTTTTTATTATAATATAATTTTATTTTAACAATAATAATGACTGACATTGTTGCTAATAACTACAAAAAAGGTTTGTTTTAACTTAATTAAATAAAATATAATTTTATTACTTATAAAAATATCATGTTTACATTTCAAATCAAAGTTATGTTTAATATTGCAGTTAGTATATTACTGATATATTGATAAAATATACATTTATAATTTATATTAATTTTTATCCAGGTGATCCGTTTCCACCAAGGACCAACACTGACTTACTCCGTGTGTATAGCAACCAAATCTGTCCATACGCCGAAAGAGCCCTGCTGGTTTTAGTTGCCAAAGACATCGAGTTAGTATTTAACAACTTTTTTTAAAATTTCAAACATGTGGTTGAGGTAATCTAAAATAAATTGTCAAGTTAGATAGTTTTGCTCATAATGCATAGCATATATATTTTAGTTAGTTTTGACTTTGCCTGATGTGTTGATAATTACTGATATTAACAAATTATATTTATTATTTAACTTGTTAAGATAACATAAATTTTACCCAAAAAATAATAATAATAAACTATCATATTTATTGTTAATACTAATCCAATAGGCACGAGATAATCAATGTTAACCTACGGGACAAGGTGGAATGGTGGGTAGAGAGAAACCCGCTTGGTAAAGTGCCCACCATAGAGTTCGGCGCCGACAACAAGGTGTTATACGAGTCGCTAATTGTGGCCGAATATCTCGACGAAGTCTATACGGAGGGCCGACCCCTTCAGCCCCGGGACGCCTACCAGAGGGCCAGCGATAAGGTGTTTATCGAGACGTTTGGCGCCAGTTATAGCTTTAACTATAAGTATATCTATTCGACCGACGATTTGACTACCGTTTGGTCGGAGATCGCCGACGGACTTAAGAAAGTGGACACTTTGTTGGCTAAGCGGAGGGCAAACAATCGTTATCTCTCAGGTATTGAACCGATATAATTATCAGAGTATTTATAAATAGTTGCTTTGAGTTTATGTTAATTTGTTCTAGTTATTTTATTTGATTAATTTAGTGCTGTAATTTGAGCAATAACGTTTGCGTAAATAATAGATATAAGTTACTTTTATCATGTAAAATGTTTTTACGTGTAAATATTAATAGGACTATGGTAAAATAATCATAGTTGTAGCAAACTTTTATTATTATTTGCCATTTATTATTATTTGTTATTACTTGCCTTAATCAATTTAATATTTTATTTTTCATTAATAATTAGGTGAATCACTGCCCGGTCTGGTAGATTACGCCATCTGGCCGTTCATTGAACGCCTGCCGCAGATCATAGACCTCGCGGGCCATAACGCGGCCGACTATTTGCCCAAAGAGTTGCCAACAGTTCACGACTATAGGCAACAATTGTTGGCCGATTCGACCGTTCAGAAAGTGAGCCTTCCGTACGAAACACTATTGGCCTTCACTCGAGAGTATCGCAAGATTTTGATTAAGAAATAAATTTTTGTATTTTATTATTGCAATTAAATAGTTATTTTAAGCAAATTTATTAATGTGTACATTTAATTTGAATGTGTGTGTGAGTGAGCTTAATTCATTTATTATTAATTACAGAAAATCTCGACCAAATAATTTTACTAATAATTTAGAATTTTTAGTTTTAAAGTGAATTTATTATTTTTATTGACAATAGTAAATTATAATAGTATGAGCTGATTATATAAAATAAGCGTTCGCAATAATATTTTAGCAATGAGTGTTTGATTGCATGTCTTTGAGCTGAATCGAGTTCGCGCACTCCACACCCTAGACTTGGATGTCATCAAATTATCATAATTTTGAGTCACAAAAAGTATGACCATGTTCATAAATTTATGATTCACAACTTCTTTAAGCTTCATGATAAAAATAATTAAATAGTATGAATTTATTATTAATACTATTATTATATAATAAATCTTTTTTCTCGATAATCGGTTTAATTGAAAAATGTTTTAATTGTTTTAAAATGACTTCACATTCGGGTCTTAGTCTCCAATCAGTGGATCCATTTATTGAGTACTCATTAGAACTCATTTCAATCAATAACGTGTATATTTCTCGTAATTTATTCTCCAGCTTAACGTTATTATTATTTTTAAAATTTAATTTTAATTTAAAAATATAATTGTAATTATAATTTATAAAAAAATATATAATGTGTTTATTTTATTAATAACATATTATTAATAACATACTTTCCATTTTCAATATCCTTTTTATTGAAACTAAAAATTTCAGCGCCAATGAGTGCCAGACTATAGACATCTATTAAATGGTTGTATTCAGTGGTCTGCGCTTCGGGCGCCTGATAGTCAATATCCCCGACATCTTTGGTGTGTTTAACACTACTTTGTTTGTATCCATCACTCAATACATCTAATTCTTTAGACAAACCGAAGTCACATAACTTTACCTGATTATGTAAATAGTTTGCAATCAACACATTATGGGGTTTGAGGTCTCTGTGAATGATATTATTTTTATGCAAATACTCCACACTTTCCACCAATTGTTTAAATATTTTATATTATATATAATATTCAAATTCAGTCATTATTTCCCCAAATAATTGCTCCTTAATTTGCAAAAAAGTTGTCAAATTTCCGGTTAAACAATCCATAACTATATATAAAATGTTATTTTTAATCCATGAATAGTAGTATTTAATGACATATTTTGAGCGCAATTTTATCACATTTTTCGTCTCATTTAAAATATTTTGTTTCTGTTTTTCTGTCAAACCTTATAATAGAATAAATATTAATATAAATAATGTAATAGAAATGTTAATAATATAATTATTTTAAAAATATTACCATTTAATGGACATTTTTTAATTGCATATTCAGATCCAGTATGTTTATCCCTCATTTCAAACACTCGTCCAAAACTACCTGATCCTAACTCTTTAATCATTTCATACTTTTCTATGCCATTTATTTCACAATCGGTTTCTAATTAAATAGTATATTATAAATTTAATATTTTTGATTTTAAAAATATTTTACCATAATATTGTATTAACTGCTTGAGCATAATTATTATGTTTATTGATATAAATAGTTTTATAAGTCAAGTGATATAGATTGGCAAATGTTGTATATTGTTCCTCAATAAATACTTTTGGTTTATCTAAATATTGGTAAACTTTATCGCCACTTATTCCAAAAATCTGATTCATCCAATATATTTGTACAAGATCATTAAACAAAAAGTTGCTAATCATAATCATCTTCTTATTATGAAAATCATATCTGTAAACGTGTTTATCATTTGATAACATAACATAACAACTACACACAATTCTAATATTATTGACATTTAATAATAATTGTGGTGTTGTTGTAACAATTGTTGTCTCATTGTTGTCCTTCTCTTTCCACATAAACACCTCTCCATTGGATGTAATGGCAAATGATGTGTAATTAAAGAGAATAATGTCTATAATTTTGTATTCAACGGGAATTTGTATTTCAACTAATTGTTGTGTCATTAAATAATATCTCCATTGAAATATCCGTCCATCGGATGTCAGAGCAATGGCAGTGTATCTATAGCATGTAATTTTCTCAATACGTATATCGTGTGAATTACATAATAATATTTTGTATGGTTTAGCATAAATCGATTTAACGAGATCCGTATTCAAACCCCAGCCGTATATTTGTTTATTGCTATTTAAAGCCAATACAAAGTTATCTCCATTGAAAAACTGTTGTATATTATTATGATTTAATTGTGACACTTCTTCGGGTGTATGAATGGGTCGGTTGTGTCCCAAACCCAACACTCCCTCACTATTACTGCCCAACCCATAGACCCGATCATCAGTTGTCACAAACAATAGGTTTATGTTATACTTATTATTTTCCGCATACCCGAAAACATGAAATAATTTGATTTTTTGCCTCAAATCGAAAGCAATTTCAAACTTATTTAATATCTCAGACATTATTATTAAAAATGATTACATTATTATTAAACACAAGTTATTGTATTTTTGCTCTATTGACAATGTTCACTTATTGTATATATCGCACTTATTACTTATGCAAATAACTGATTTAAAGTTATATAAACTTATAATTTATGTACACAATAATTATATAAAGCTATATATTAGTTAATTAATAATTTTATTACTTAAATAACAAGAAAATAATTACTTTATTTAATGAGACGCAATTAAAATAACATTACAAACATAGCGTAATATTATGCCATTTGTAAATAAATTAATCATTATATAACATCTGTAAACTTGTGCCGCAACTATTTCGCCATGTAGAGAGAGAGAGCAAAAATACAATAACTTGTGTTTAATAATAATGTAATCATTTTTAATAA